AAGCAGTAAGCTTCACTGTCTGTGTAACTGCACCGCAGGCGTCCTACTTGCTCCGGTGCCGCGTGTTGCATTACGCGGACTGGGCCGTATGCCTACGCCTGCACAACCTACACCAGCACATTTACGTAGCAGGGCAGGGATGCGGAGGTTCCTTTGACTTCCAAAGTTTTGTCTCCTAGTTGCAGTAAAAATCCTTGCTGATTTTAGTCAACAATCTGGTGTAAAGCGCCAAGTACTCTCAAAGAAAGCAGTTAAATGCGTTTTACACTTTTTATAATCAGTCGTTTAGATATTCTGACAAGGTATACTGCGAAAGGCGAATATGATTGTGCTTCAGGAAAATGAAAATGCAGTTTGTTTATTATATGGGCGGTTGAACACGTTGTGCATTAAAAAGTGTGTTAATATGGTGTAAGCCTGGGATGAGCATAAGAGTCTTGCAGTTGTAAATAAGCGTTAAATACAAGTGCTGCTGTATTCAGACACGCAAAATACTCTCTCTGCTCGAACCGACAGCTTTCAATTACTAGCTTGTGTATAAGGTTTATATGAAAAGCGCGTCCATCTTGAAATTCCGGGATCTCGACGGGAAGTTGCAAAGCTGTCTGAAAGGTAGAATGAAATTATATACGAAAACACATAGACTAATGGTGTCAGTTATAAATTTCAGTCCTGTTAGTACCGTGCAAATGAAAGAGGACAAATCTTCGTTACCATAGGTTTTGACAGAATGTGAATCCTGTGCTGTACATACCTAATTCTAGGAACTTAAAGAAATATGCCTCCGCTAGCTTTCTGTTCCTATGAAGAAAAGCAGGATTATAACCGGTAACAAATTAGACCATCCAATTTGTTTCATTTTGAGAATTGAATGCTTTTTCCTTATCCCAACATTTGAGATGCCGGCGACGCATACTAAATTATATTATATGCCTGTCTTTTATCCAAAACACTGCCCTCTTTTGGCAGGTTTCCTTATTTACTGGTTCGCTAGTACGTTAGTGTTTTTGCGTAAGGGACGAATGTGAAGGCGATTCTACTAACTGTTAATGAAAAATTAATAAAACGATCAAGCTGTCAGCGTAATATTGTTTCTTAAACAAAGAACAGTCATGGCTCTTTACAAATGTTTAAATTGAGTGACATTTACATGTTCAAATTATTCGTATATCTGTTGTTTCACAATAAAATACTTCTTTATTTGTTGCTTTATTTTCGTCAAAAACGAACCGTTTGTTTTGCATAAAGTAAGTTCGATGATATCACGTGGGTATACTAACATAATTACACCAGTAGTTTAAATCCACAGGCTGAGTTTTAATTAGTGAATTCACTCCTACTACAAAATAGCCATGCTTCGAATCTCGCTTCGAGAACTTTTTGTATTAACTTATTTTATCGTTATAAGTTTGCCAGTCGTCCTAATCTGTTAGAAGACCATTTCACAGGGAACCATGTCGGCATAGTTGAAACCTATTAACCTGTCTGCAGAGACTGAATTATAGCAGTTAAATTATTTTGTTTAGCCTGACATATCTCTGTGCTTATAAACTTTTACTGACCGCTTACATCTTCTTTAGCCCGATGCCTGGTTGTAAAACGTTAGGCTCAATGAGAATACTTAAGCTTTTTAGAAAGCGGTGGTAAAACGTCCTTTAGAATTCTCCGTTTTTGAAATATATTCATGATATTTTACGTTGTAGGCACGGCCGGGCACGAAATATGGGTGCCTTTATTATAGGTTACCTTGCCTAAAATATCAGGGATTAAACCTTAGATTAGGGATAGTATCAGGCTTGGTGATAAGTTGGAATTGGGCTTGGGGCCATGAGGGCTAATCGTCGTGTTTGACTTACGACGGCTGAAGCTAGGAGGGCTATGGTTAGGGTAAATGCTAGGACTTAGCGCGAGGCCACCTCTATTACTGGAGGTCCATATTTCCGATTTCAGCCGTAAACACACTGTGCCACTTTTGATCCAACGCACGTTTAAAATGGTCAAGCGATAAGACTACAAATGGCTGTGAAAAACTTTAAAGAATCATATGTCCAACATAAAATTCACGGAAAAGCGTTTTCATATAAAAACGCGTTGAAAAAATGTACTATGATATTATATTTGTACTTTTCAAGCATGCACCGACTTTTCCGTTTGCGCAAATGGGACAGGAGTTTTGTGATTGTTCTATGTATATCAAAGACATTTGACGGAAATTTAAATATACTTGCCGCATTAAAGATTTTGTTGTCCAAAAATCACAACGAAATTTTGAGAGAAGTATCTAATTTGCCTTCTTTGCACACCGACAAAGCGCATTCACAGAGGTTATGAATACTTCTGTTCTTAAGTGTTCCAGGGACTGCTGTAGATAGAGAACCAAGCAACATAAGTATAACATATGTTCATCCGTATGGGACAGAAACTGTTCTCTTGAAACAAATAATGGACCACAAGACTGACAAGGTTTATTTCGAGAGTATTTAACGTGGGTTTTGAGAGCCTACGTAAGATCCATGACGACATTACAAATGCAATGCTTTTCACGCAGAATTACTCAAACGCTAATCACCTAAGAGGTAGTGTTTTTCAGGAAAGAACATTACCAAAAATCTGATGCTTGTTACTACGCAAATTGAATGTGAAATGTATAACTTAATTATGAATTTGCTCTCTATCCCTCAGCGATTTTATCAGGAAACCGGCAGCAAGACGCATATCTTGGCAGTCCTATGAAGGCCCTTAAACAGAGCGTTTTCAACTGTCTCTATAGACTAAAAGTAAATAATTAGTGTCTTCTTCGGATGCATTTTGTGTGAAATCTCCCTTAAGCTCATTTTAACAGAAAAAGCCTTCTCATTTGAATATGTGTCCTAAGCGCTCTTCTGCCGAAAAAGTTTGGAGTACGCAGATATTTTATTTTAGGAAATGTCTGTGAGTTGCTTTGCCATAGGCGATTGAACTCTGTTACGCTTAATGGCAAAAACTATCTGAGTCACGCACAGCGGTATTGAAGGTCCAACAGCTAATGTAATTACTGTCTGCCCACATGTGAACGTCAACAAGGTAACATGTGCTCTGCCTGATCGGAGCTAAGAGATGTCTCATTTCAGCAAAATTAAAAATATTCTCTGGCCCGGCTGATTAGTTTATGTAATGCCGGTGCTCAGTCTGTCAAAATGAGAGTGCATCAAACGAGCTCATTTAAGAAGGCAAAATGAGATTAAATTGTTTCAAATTCTCCTTGAGTGCTTTTCCTATGTTTTTCAAGCTTTCTGATGTTCTAAATGGCGGAAAACCTCAATCGCATAAGTGGAAGCCTTGAATTTGATTTTCTTATGTGGACCGCATGTGTGTGCCACACGTTCTGTGAATAAGTAATACATATACAAAAGGTTATTTATCAGATTTGATCGATTACAGGAAAGAATGATTAAAACCTTTTGATCACTCATTCTGTCACCCGGAAAAAGTGTTTTTTTACCGAATTTTGCGAAATAAATAGGGCAACCGTAGTTCACTTAAAAACGAGGCATCCCTTGTTCACTCTTTCCCTTCATGAGCTCAACAGTCCTTTCTACATAATTTTAGTTGTGCTAGACTCTTGCCTGATACGGCAGTATAGTAGTTACAAACTGACTACAATAGCGCTTTATTAATTCTGAGGATAAACGATAGTGGTAGCGTTACTTTACTTGAAGCGTTTTTGAAGTCTAACCTCAAAGTTCCAACAAGGCTTGTTTTGCAAAATGGCAGGTAGAGCTTAAACAACAGCGTCAGAAAGACCTAGTGCAAGCTAGATATTTTTTAATATGCAGTTTGCAATAAATGATGGTTGTCAAATACTAAGGCGTTATTTCAGATTTTGTGACACTATCATGCTGAATGCGAACAGTGCAGGTGTGCTCAGAGGTTTTTTGAAAATTCTCCCGGTATTATCATATTGCAATATGAGGAGACATGTTACTGCGTATTTTTGATTGTGCTTAAAATATGTGCATTTAAATAAGATTATATTTTTAGCTTCTAACATCGGATTGCAACGACTTTCTAAATAAGCTATTTTTACAATTTGCAAATGAACACATTAAGGTAGGAACTCTTGTTTAAAGCATATGCTAGCCAGTATTAACCCGTTTGCGTTACTTTGATATCCTTACATTAATAGAAGCGCCTTGACTCAAGGGAACGCTTCTAAGGCAAACAACATCATGTTAAGTCTGTAAGAATTAGATAATTTTTCTGCCGGAAACGATAAATCGAATTTAACGAAGTATCCTTCCTTGGGTATATTTTGCTATCCTTGTAGAAACATGATAAATATGCCGTTCTACAGAAATTCCAAGTGCTTTTACCGTCAGCTCACACATTCAGTTTTCATCCTATTGAAACAAATATGCATATTAAGCGGGGGAAAACCTTAACAATCTTTTTTCAATTGAAAAGGGAAATTTTGCTAATTTGCCATAACTTTTAAAGAAGACGTATTTGTCGCGTCGAATAAGATCATAAGCATGAGAAAAATGTTACTCCGCTCTTTGTAAATGACCTGATTAATAAGCGTATGAAGACATGCCGTGGACTTTTAATCTAAATAATAAATCCATAGTATAAATACGGGAGGATGAACAAAAACATCCATTTAAAAATATCTTAATTCCAATTTTGCGCAATTTCAGACTTTCTCGTAACTCGGATCAGCGACGTATTTTCCAGTGTGGTTTAAGATATTAATCGAGTTTAACGATGTGCATTTTCTAATAGTTGCTTCAGTA